CAGACTGTCTATTCTTGTCTTGTTTTCATGTCTTGAAAATTGCCTTTGACGATGCAGATATTGATTGTCTTGCCTTATTTTATTTTAGTTCTCCGTCCTTAAAGAAGTGCAGTGTTCTACCGAAGGTTCTTGTTCACAATGTATGTCAAGGACAGATTTACCTTCCTGCCGGCCTCGTTGTTGTGCAGGTTCATGAGAGCCCGATTGGACGACTGGCCTTTACTCCTCTCCCTCACATCCACAAAGGACTGGGAGAAGGCCACTCCATATGCAATGTTATCACTGCAGCCCGACCACTGGAACCCTGGGAAAATACGGGAAGTGGTTACATATATGGCTTAAAACATTTGAACAGAGATGGCAAAAGTGCACACATCCTTTACTTAAGTAAAGGATACTCGTGTTCAAAAATACTCTGGTAAAAGTAGAAGTACTGACTGAACTTCTTTATTCAATTCAAAGTAAAGAGGCTTTGAAATGTACTTCAGTAAAAAGTACCCATAACTAGCAGCTGTTTTAAAGAGTACCTGACCTCCCTTTATATTCATAGAACAATAATGTCATTGTTAGCTAATGAATGTTTCCATGCTGAACAACGGCAACATGACAACGTTTCCATTGGTCCCTCTTCTTTAGAGAAGACCAGGAAATGATGGATACACGGATCGTGCTCAAATCAATAGGCACGCAATGACTCTAAAGAATAATGATCACGCATCAAACACACATTCAGACTAAAGGAACCAGCTGTTTGGAAAATGAGAGAAGTAGAAAGTACAGGTATTGTGTTCAACATGTAAGAAGTAGAAAGTACAGGTATTTGTGTTCAACATGTAAGAAGTAGAAAGTACAGGTATTTGAGTTCAACATGTAAGAAGTAGAAAGTACAGGTATTTGTGTTCAACATGTAAGAAGTAGAAAGTACAGGTATTTGGGTTCAACATGTAAGAAGTAGAAAGTACAGGTATTTGTGTTCAACATGTAAGAAGTAGAAAGTACAGGTATTTGGGTTCAACATGTAAGAAGTAGAAAGTACAGGTATTTGTGTTCAACATGTAAGAAGTAGAAAGTACAGGTATTTGAGTTCAACATGTAAGAAGTAGAAAGTACAGGTATTTGTGTTCAATATGTAAGAAGTAGAAAGTACAGGTATTTGTGTTCAACATGTAAGAAGTAGAAAGTACAGGTATTTGGGTTCAACATGTAAGAAGTAGAAAGTACAGGTATTTGTGTTCAACATGTAAGAATTCAAAGTTAAAAGTGGTCAGACAAATAAGTAGTGGAGTAAAGTACTGATACCAGAAATATGTACTTAAGTACAGTAAGGAAGTATTTGTACTCCACTACTTCCCACCTCTGACTTTTGATAGCAGTACACTATTTGACATCGACTCCAGTGCTTCTTTATTGGTGGTTCGGTGTAGTATATGCGTCACATCGATATTGTTAAAGATGTGGCTAAACACACATGGAGTTCAGACAACATAAATAATGAAAACAAACTAATTATTTTTAATGTCACATCGTTAAATCTTTGAAATGATTGCATTCAAATATGCTGGATCAGTCGGACCTACTTTTTTTGTTGCATGAATGTGTACAGTATATGTGTGTGCGCGTGTGTGTGTGAAACAGAAAGCTAACCTACCCTCTGGACTGACTCCATGAACATTGTGGTCACAGCCACATTTTTCCAGCTCTCCGCTGCTGCAGGCCCTCGTGACCGCAAACGCCACACTGGCTGCTGAGATGGCGTACACAAAGGCTGCCTCACGGGTGCCTAAACACACACACACACACACACACACACACACACACACACACACACACACACACACACACACACACACACACACACACACACACACACACACACACACACACACACACACACACACACACACACACACACACACACAGATATATTGTTACATTATGTAAAGAGGTTGTATCAAAGTCTCATGGAATATCAAAGATTATGCAGGAATAAATCCTAAAACCGAGGAATGATTTATTGTTTTACCAATTCCTGTTCCCTCAACTGGAAGTCAATGGTTTGATGAATGTGATTTTGTTTACCGTAGATGCCTGAAATATGATATGTTGTTAACACAAGCTTACAAGTGTTTCCTAATTTGCTCGACTACGTTAAATATATCAGCAAATACCACACTTGTGAATATTCAAAGCTTCTTTGTGTCATAAAACTCTGGTAACAAACAATTGACTTAATAAATGTCCAGACCACAAGTATGCCGTTAATTTTGCGGTGGTGAGGTGCAGCCACGCGACTTATTTCTTAATTCGTTTTACACTTAAAAAATAATAAAAGTTTTGTAAATATGTGAAGATTATCCTACTCAACTGCTTGAGTTTCAATATCAGGATACATGGATTTATTATCCTTGCAAGAATGGAGTAGTCATCTCAACAAAACGTGTAAGTATAAAATCCGATTGGCTTTTTGTTGAGGGGCCCGATGTTGTAAATGCATGCAGGTAGTGAAGTTATTTCAGTATCAGCTGTAGTAGTATATCACTCTCAGTGTCTCTGTTGTGAATGGATGAAGTGACTGAAATCACTGTAGTGTATAATCTTACTCTGCGTGACAATCTTTCCAAACACAGGCATGGTCTCCAGCGTGGAGCAGTTCCATCGCCGGTTTCTAAACTGGAACTGACACTCGTCGATCGCCAGCTGAGCTCCACGACGCACGGCATCCATCACCTCCACACTGCGCTTACAGATCTGCACCTGGAGGACAGACACAGAGACATATCCTTTATTTAACAGGTAAAAGTCTCATTGAGATTAAAATCTGTTTTTCAAGAGCGACCTGGCCAAGAGGGCAGCATGAACAAAGTTACAACAAATGAACAGGCAGACGAATACAGCGGTCGATAAACACAAATGAAATGCGCACATTAACCAGTCGATATGCAAATAAAAGAAACTATTATATACGCCTAAATAGGAGATAGTTACTTCCCTAAGGTCTATGCCTTTCTATTGTTTTTCTGTTTTGATTTCACCAATGCTTATCCAAACCCTAACCCTAAACCGTAAGCAGGGTTACAAAACTGTAAAAAGCGGTAAGGGTGGTTACTTTCTTGTATATGTGTTATTATATCAATGTCTTTAAACTCTAAAACCAGAGTTAGTGATGTTCAGAACAGTGGAAATAATACCAAGACAGAATTTAGGATTTATTCTGTTTCTGACATGACTGAAGGAAGGGTTTTTCTGGGATGTTAACAGCGACGTGCAGTCAGGGGAGGCAGGGGAGGCAGAGCCTCACCTGTCATACTCCAATGTAACGGAAAAACAACTAAAGAAAAACTAAATAGTAATAATAATAACATGTCTCCACTGATCTGTGTTGTAAATGTGATTTCTGTTTGATTCCAATCGCTTTTTATAGTCAAAATCAGCAAATTGGCCGAGCTCCGCTACAACTACGGGTATGAGGAGAGAGGCAGGGACGAGCTCTGCCTCTCGTAAGCCCACAGTAACTGGCTGGAGCGCGGGCACTAATTTAGCGCGGGCACTAATTTTGTGAGCGCGCTCAAGCCAGTTACTGTGTGGTGAGGTGAGGCACAGATGAGCTCTGCCTCACCTCAGAATGCGTCACCCCACAGAAACTGGCTGGAAAGCGGGCCCTAAGCGCATGCCTGCACCATCTCACTGTATGTCACCAATGTAATGTTTGTAGATCCCTTTATTACATTTATCCTCGCCATCCATAGTCTCTAAATAACTTATTTCACGTATATATGATATTTAGGCTCGCTGGTCTCATCATACAACGGCAATGAAAAAGCACGAGGGGAGGCAGCCATAACCTCTGCCGCACTGAAGGGGGCGCAAGTGAGCCCACAGGTTCTTGTTGCTACTGTTATTCTACGCAGAGACGGTAGACGCAAACAACAAACTAGACTTTAGAAACTAGAGGAAGATAAGGAGGACTTTTACAAAAATGTAATGGAGATTGTTGTCCAGAAGGATAGCATGGACTTCATCTTCAAGTCAAGGTAAGACCACAATTGTAATGAACATGGGATCTTACTAAGAAAGAACAATTCAATATTTAGATTGTGGGTATCCTTTTGTTGAACGGTCTGTTTAAAATGAATTGAAGCATCAGACTAAAAAAGCTTTTGAAAATAACCGAACATTTCGATTAAGGTCAAAATATAATATTTGTAAATCTGACTCTGAAAGAGTCAGTGCCTCACCAGCCATGAACCTCACCGCACGTCACTGGATGTTAAATATAAGTTTCTGTCATGGGTTCTGGCTTTGAGGAGAGCATTTGAAGATTGTTTTCAAAGTATATTTTGTGATACTCTCTTATGAAGGAAGAGACCGCTCAACAAATGTTATAGCAAAGTAAACAGAAATTCCTACCTCGTGAATTGTTGGTTATTTTAAGCCAATGCAGTAGCACTAACAATGCTTTTGCTTTCTGAAAGCTAATGTACTTGAAGGATTCTTGCTTGTTTTGAAGTTTCTATCTTCATGGTTGAATGCAATCAATTAGATTAAAGCTAAACGAAATGCACTATACCTGTCTCTGGATGAGACCTCGTAACCTCTCGCACGTCTCCTCATCCCGGATGCTTCCCACTGACGACAGCTTGGCCAGGTACCTGACAGAAGGAAACACAATCAACAGAAGCTCTTAAATACATGGCGGTTGCAAAGAAGCGTTAGTTATTGTCACATTATAATGTTCCCCTTTAAACCTGAATTTAACAACATCACTCAGATGAACCGTGTTGGTTCCCATGACGTTGTGGGAATGTTTTGGATGAAATGTCTGGTTGTGAGGACACTGAGAGGAGGGAAAGTGTCTTATCACACACACCACCTCCAGGCCAGACAGGTCAGGGAGATTCACTGCACACACACACACACGCACGCACGCACGCACGCACGCACGCACGCACCCACGCACACACACACACACACACACACACACACACACACACACACACACACACACACACACACACACACACACACACACACACACACACACACACACACACACACACACACACACACACACACACACACACAATCTGAGATGTGTGAGAAATTGGCATCAGTCTGGATGCCCTGACCCTCACACATGCACCTCACCTCACTTCAGTCTCATATCTGCAGACCAGCTGCACCTCACAGAAATAGAGTCTCCCACAGAGGGAGCTGCCCTGATTGTGTACCGTCTACACGGCCAAAAGTGTATATTGAGTCTGCAAATTCTTCAAACAATGGAACATTTTGCAGGTGAGAAAGCTCTTCATTTCCAGTGGTGTTTCACAAAAAAGCGGGATTGAAAGAAAAAAAAAGGATAATTCAAAGAAACCTTGACCCTAACCCACACAATTACAATAACGAATTAAATGGAAACTAGTTAGCCTCCAACTTCATTGATAGATAAATCAGACATTAACATTTCCCTCGTCTATATTCATGCCCTGATTGTGTACCGTCTACACCACTCAAAGTGTATTCATCTCGGCATATGTTGAGTCTGCAAATCTTACAAACAATGGAACATTTTGCCGGGGAGAAGGCTCTTCATCTCCAGTGTTGTTTCACAAAAAAGCAGTCATAACAAGCAGTATTGAAAGAAAGAAACAAGGATCATTCGAAGAAACCCTAACCCTAACCCTAACCCTAACCCTAACCCTAACCCTAACCAACAAGATTACAATACCGAATGAAATGGAAACTAGTTTACCTCCAGCTTCAAACCTTATAAATCAGACATTAACATGTATCACGTCTATATTTATGTTCCTGCTATGTGAATATGTAATTGTTAATAAACCAGATTTTGATTCTGATCTCTCAAAATGAAAGCAGTGTTTCTCAAATTGGTAAACTCCACCCTTCATGGAAGTTAAAGAACAAATGCAATGATGTTTAAAATACAATATCTCCAAAGCAAATTCTACATTCAAAGTATTAACATTGAAACTATTACAAAAACCCTGTTATTTGTATTTTGCAGCGCAATAGGCTACGCAGTGTTTCTCAAAATGTTTAACTACACTAGTTTCAATACTTTCAATGTAGAATTTACTTTGGATTTTGTGTTTTAAACATCATTGTAGAAATGCAATGATGTTTAAAATACAAAGTCAATTCTACATTCAAAGTATTAACATTGAAACTATTTAGTTATTTGTATTTATTTCGTAGTGCATAGTGGTACTTGCTTACCTACTGTACGTTATAACACCATAAATCTGTGTAGAAAAGAGTCTCAAAGGGACAAGAACAGCAGTTTTACTATTATATCACTCCGTATTTGCCGACTCCTCCATACAGTGGACAGAGTTTGAATATTAAAATGGCAAATTCCAAGAGAATTAACTTTAAGGCCACCGTAATGTATGAGCAGACATGTTTTTCCTTAAGTTCCTGAAGTCTGTTTTATGAGTCTCTGGTTATGAGTTCCCAAGACCACACATACCTCCGTAAAGCCCGCTAGCCCGTCTCAATCAAACTGTGGCTCACTTCCAGACTGCAGAGAGTTCTGCTGGCGTATTATTGACAACGCTACATCCTCTCAGTTTACCTTCAGAGATGCTCAAACTACACACATCCTTTAAAAGTACATACTCATGTTTAAAAATACTCTGGTGAAAGTAGAAGTACTGACTAAACTTCTTTACTCAAGTCAAAGTAAAGAGGCTTTGAAGTGTACTTCAGTAGAAAAGTACCCATAACTAGCAGCTGCTTTAAAGAGTACCTGACCTCCCTTTATATTAATAGAACAATAATGTCATTGTTAGCTAATGAATGTTTCCATGCTGAACAACGGCAACATGACAACGTTTCCATTGGTCCCTCTTCTTTAGAGAGACCAGGAAATGATGGATACACGGATCGTGTTCAAATCAATAGGCACGCAATGACTCTAAAGAATAATGATCACGCATCAAACACACATTCAGACTAAAGGAACCAGCTGTTTGGAAAATGAGAGAAGTAGAAAGTACAGGTGTTTGAGTTCAACATGTAAGAAGTAGAAAGTACAGGTATTTGAGTTCAACATGTAAGAAGTAGAAAGTACAGGTATTTGAGTTCAACATGTAAGAAGTAGAAAGTACAGGTATTTGAGTTCAACATGTAAGAAGTAGAAAGTACAGGTATTTGAGTTCAACATGTAAGAAGTAGAAAGTACAGGTGTTTGTGTTCAACATGTAAGAAGTAGAAAGTACAGGTATTTGAGTTCAACATGTAAGAAGTAGAAAGTACAGGTATTTGTGTTCAACATGTAAGAAGTAGAAAGTACAGGTATTTGTGTTCAACATGTAAGAAGTAGAAAGTACAGGTATTTGAGTTCAACATGTAAGAAGTAGAAAGTACAGGTATTTGGGTTCAACATGTAAGAAGTAGAAAGTACAGGTATTTGTGTTCAACATGTAAGAAGTAGAAAGTACAGGTATTTGGGTTCAACATGTAAGAAGTAGAAAGTACAGGTATTTGTGTTCAAAATATAAGAAGTCAAAGTAAAAAGTCGTCAGAAAAATAAGTAGTGAAGTAAAGTACTGATACCAGAAAAATGTACTTAAGTACAGTAACAAAGTATTTGTACTCAACTACTTCCCACCTCTGGCTACAATACACTACAAAAGTCAGGCATATGATATATTAGATACTGGTAAGTGTATGAAAAAATGTTTGGGGGTATTTATTAGGTTTTATCCGCTGTTCGCTCCAGCTCTTTTAATAATAATAATAAAGCTTTATTTATACGGCACTTTTCCTACAACACATGCAGCTCAAAGTGCTTTACAAAATGACACACCACAAGTTGAAAATAAACAACAAGAAATTCCCCTCAGATTATTTGTTAAGAAGTTAAAAAGGTACTTGCAGCAAAATATAACATTTCATCAGGTTAACGGACAGAAGGAGGTGAAATAAATGGATGATAATACAAATAAAATAAATAATGCTTTCTCTCTGACAGATAAAACAAAGTGAACATATAGGTACAACAGAAATAAATAAATAAAACAACATAAAGGTTGGTAAATAATAAAGACTAAAAGAACATTTAAGTGGGGGGTTGCTAATAAAAAGCTAATCTAAAATGATGTGTCTTTAGCAAACCCTCATGGGATTGGACAAAGGTATAACATATTTAGTTTAGTGCTACTGTTTTTTTAAAATGGTGTCGTATAATGATCATCTTCCCAGAGGTCAAACAGCTCCTCCTCTCCTTCACCATCTCATCTCCTCCTCTCCTTCACCCTCTCATCTCCTCCTCTCCTTCACCCTCTCAGATAATTTCCCTCTCTTCCTCCGTCTCTCTTCTAAAGACAGTGTGGATATCATCGCTGTGATAACCTCGCTCTCTGCCACTCCACCAAATCTCAGTCACATCCGCTCACACATTTTTAAGAAGAAGCATCACCAAGACCCACATTCTTCATCAAAGTGTGTCCAATGTTTCAATGCTTTAAAGCCCCTCTACTCAACTATATGTTCATGCAGGATTATAAGACAATGTGAAAGGGTTTGAAAGCTATGTTTTAGATGGATGAAGTAAGGTGACTCATATGGATTTGTATATTTGTTTATTTGATTTGGGTTCATTTGACGTTAAAGCCAGACCTATCACAATTTTACAAAAATACACTACGAGTAGAATTATGTCTTTACTGGTACCAAATTCTCAAAAAAAGTTAACCATAAAAAAGATCAGAGCCTTGGATGAGGACCATTTTAATCCTAAATGTGATCCACCCCAATAGACTCTAAGCAGGGGCGGTTCTAGGGGGGGGGGGAGGGCAGGATATGAAACTAACTAACGCTATTTGTCATTCCAGTCGGACCCATTAGAGCGTAAAAACTGTAACTATAAGTATCTGAAATATCAAGTCAAAAGTTAATGATATGTCAATGTTGTGTTCACATCTTGTTTTTGCTGCAAAGACATCCTAAGGCTGGAAGTGAGTGAGGGATAGAAGCACAATGAGAAAATCCACGTGGACACCGCTCTAGTCGGAAAGACACATCAACGAGTTGTTGACATTTGCAAACCAAATGCATTTACAATTATTCTTTGTAGCATTCTCGTGGTTTCCACATTACGAGTTAAAGCTCCTGAACCCACTGAAGTCAGAACAACGACTCCCAAGCTCTGGAAACAGGACCATCAAAGAGCATAATAATAATAATAAGTAAAAGGGTTGAGACAAAACAACAAAAACAAATAAAACAACAAATTAAAAGCAGTGACGTTTACGCCGGCATGGCAACAAGTGGGGGTTTTAAAGATCTAGTAAAAGGACATTCGAAAAAGATGCATTTTTAGGCCTGAGCATGTGACCTTGGTAGAGGTCTGCATTCTCCAAAGAGCCAATATTTAGATCTATTAACTTTTCACAACACAATGTCGCTTTAACAAACCACGAAGGAACAACAGTCTCTGGTTATAAAAGTGTTTCAGCGAAAGACAACTAAGAGTCTTTGAAGGTAATTGAACCAGGAAGAACACTGGAGTGAACATGTGGAAAGATAACAGTGGTATAAGATCAAGAGGTCTGAATTGAGTCGCATTAAATCTAAACCCCAGTGTCCTGGAGCCATCTGTGGGGTTATTTCTCTCCCCAAATCTCCA